GACTCCCGCAAGGAAATTGAATAAATTTGCGTGGGTGGGTTTGCAAACGCATTTTTGATGTAAAGCGGGGTTGAGTTTACTGTATTGAAAGGTTTTATATATAAAGATTTGCCTAACTCTTGTCACATTTTGCATGCTGCATATTATGTTAGCAAAGAAAAGAAAAATATATAAGAAAAATAGAAGAATACATTTTAAACTCTTTATTAATGTCAAAATTATATCACAGAAAATGTCATGAAGCTTATCAGGCTCATTTTAAACTCATAATAAGTCCCATTGAAAGTACCTATATATTCTCATGTAAACTGAGGCAGGATTGTCCATTCACCTAGATTACCACAGGAGCATAATCTGAGTCCCATGAAGCAGTAACAGATAACACCTTGATAGTGGACAAATTTAACTTGGACTGGACATTAGACAAGACAAAGATGGTGGTCGGGAGGGGGATGGGCAACCTTTGTTATCTTATGGGCGGGTATCTATTAAGCACAATACTGATAGTAGTTCCTGAGATTTGGGTATTATTAGCAAGTATAATCAATGTAGAAGAATCAATGGGAAAGGCACCAGGGTTGATTTTAGCAATGGAGTAGAGTCAGCTCTAGATCTTACCGTAGTGTCCAGGGAACTAGCCAATGCTAGTAATTGGGAGGTTCTAAATGATATAAGCAAGGAAATTTGTTTTAAATCGCAAAACTAGAATTCATATTAAAGGAATCTGAAGCTCTGCCATCTGCAACTGTGATGGGATATGCTCGTAAAAAGAGAGTAACCCCACTTCAGTTTATTTTAAACTGATGTTACAAATTGCACATCATCACTTCCTGTTTACCACAACACTGCCAGTGCTGTCTTCAGTATTAACTCTTCAGTCACAGTTTTTCCCTCTTAAAAAAAAATCATTTACTTTTATTTCTTTATTGCAACCTTATAATACTGAATATTCTGTGTTTTTGTTTGTGAATTTTTTAGGCCCAGACAGCCGAGTCTGTGGATGTGACCCTATGCTCTTCACCCCTCCACTCTAATGTGCAACAAGATTTCCTTAAAAATGTTTAATTCTGACATACATTTACAGGTTGTAGTCACAATAAAGAAATGGCTAGTACTCTTCATGTGCATCCAAACACAAATCAGCAATGAATGCTTTTATTACTGCCTGTATTTAAAGGCTCTGGACATTTTGTTATTTTTTTGGACTGTGTGAATAGTTCTGGGGTTGTATTACAGAAACTTGCGAGAATTCAGTTCAGACAGGAAGAGTCTAAGATCCTGACTAACTTTAGGAATCATATCTTTCTTCATCATATCTTAAATCAGGTTAGGAAATCATAATACTCAATCCAACATCATCTATAAACTTGTGTTCTCATCTCACCGGCCTAAACAACTTTGTTTTTTTAATTAAAACATACTGCAGCATAAACATAAAATAAAGACAGATAAGATAGATAGAAGACGTAGGAACTGTTTATCCGTCATGGCTTTTTTCCTATATCAGATCTTAACTCTTATTACCATGGTTATCAAACAGTTAAGTTTGAAAGTTTCTGTAACACAGCCCCAGGTACAGAACAGTTGGCTTCATCCTGAGGTTTCTCTGCTGCCCACATCACTGCATCCTCAGTCATCCCCCAGCCTCTGAATGCCCCTTCTACCTGTAACACAATGCAACACTGAGCTACACGTCAGTGGCACAATAATGTAAGCAAAGGAGCTGGAATTGAAGCTACAGTACATGGAGGGAAATGGATAGCTGGTGGTGGCTCTGTTTATTGTTGGCTTTAATTGTCTTTTTTTTTTAATCTTTATTTAAGCCAATAATGCTGCTTAAACTTTAATTGAGTCAACTGGGGAAGTGGGAACTAAACAGCCGTTGTTGTACCTGGGTAAATCTCATGTGTGATGTTAGAGGAGATAAAAACGAAGACATTGGCCCAACCACGGACTACATACTGTTCTGGTCCGGCCTGGAGGTGGGCGGAGCCTGCTTCCAGTCTCTCCCCCAGTCCCCTCCTCGGAAGTAGACGCCTGTCTATATTCCGTTCATTTATTTTTATATATTTTTTTATAACAACCCCTTTTCCCCTACACTTAGCACCATGGACGCCGGGATGGACGACTAAACTCAACAACGGGTCCCCGATTTCACCCCTTTACTTATCCTGGAATTGAGTGGACCGGATGAAATCCAACTGTGGTTTTCTCCGCTTCGCAGGGGAGGTAAGGCTCCGGGCTACGGCTACTTGCTGGATGTGAGTCAGCCATTTAAATGTCCCTACTTTGTAAGTTGGCGCAGTCGTTGCCGTAAACGCACCCGAACTGCTTTTATATGACACAAAGCGAGGGTGAAGACGAACGTTTTCAAGTTTTAAGTTGGAAAAATAAACATACTGGTGTGTGCTCGACGTCGCGTCGACTAGCTAACGTTAGTTGCTAGCGACGCCAGGCTGTCAAATTAGCTCCAAACAATAGCCGCACTCCGGGTAATAATGAAAGGAAACGCTTTGTAATAAACCTTCGGTGGGAGTCCCGGTGGTTTCCAGCACAATGGGACCTTTGGGAGGAGGTTAAAGGTAGTTCCCAATGAAATAAGAAGATGTTGGATTTCACTGTTTAGACGGTGACTGAATTGATTGCAGTGAGCTTGATTCAAAGCTAACCGTAGCTGGATATTATGTAACTTTATGCTGAATATGCAATAGCAAAAACAAAGGTTGTTCTTGTTGTTTCTTAAAAGAAACAGGTAACGTTAGCACAGTCGGACTGGGCTCAGCTAGAACCAGAACAGTGGACTGATGCAACCTTTAGCACAAACATCAGCATGCACAGTTCCGTTATTAACAGGATAGAGGAAACATGTATTTACCCAATTTACCCAACACAAATGATTTCTTTGTATTATTTTCATGCGTCTGGATGGAGGATAATTACTTACTTCCTATATCCCAAAGCATGTCATTTTATATCCCACTATCCATATATATATTGTTATATAATCAATTTTCTGCTGAGACCCAACAGGGATGTCTGGCTTTGGTTAGCCCAAATGAAATACCTGGCAGATCAAAGAACTTCCCATTGGTGCAAAAAGCTCATTCAAATTCAACATTATCTACAATTCCAGGTCGACCTATATGGGTTTTGTAATGGCTAATACCGATATTTAGAGAGCATGGCTTCCGGTGGCTGGTATATCATGCAGATATCAAAACAAAGAAAAGGCTTGTATAATAATAACTATAATCTATAATTCATATGTTTACAGCAGAGTTATAGCACAGGGCTTGAAAGCAGCTTTTTCACCAGCCTCCCCAACTCACTAACATGGTTCCACAGCAGCCCCGCTGCCAGTGCTGCCAGCAGATCTGTCTGAACATGTGTTTTGTTTACTGGCCTCAGCACAGACATCAGCTCATATCGTTTATCTTAAAGATAAACAGATAATAGAGCCAGTTAATAGCAGACTGATTCATCAGTTTATCACTATCCACAATACACCCAGAGATATTAAAGGGAGACTAACCACAATGTAAACACAGTCTCTGGTAGGTTTACAGTATATTGTCATATTGCCCATCAAAACCTTTCTGTTTGAGTTTTTTGATTGTGAATTTCTGTTTACTTCCCTCAGCTTCTAAAAGTATAAAACAAAGTGGGTCTGATGGAAAAGCTACTGGTGAACAACTGGGCACAGTTTGTAAACATATGCAACCTTTGATGAGGGGCCCATAATAACATTATACTGTCACTCACACCTCAGTCTGCTCAACCCCCACTGTTGTATTAGCAGAAGAACTGTGGGAATATTGAAGTGAAACTTGTGTCATAAAGTTATGTCAACAGCATTGTTTGTGTGAAGTGTAATTACAGTATGTGACATTGTGATGTGTCCCTGTGCAGGTAGCTGTATCCAGTGGGGAGGTAGGCTCAACCAGGGGAGGAAAGAATGAAGTTCTTGGAACCCTGGGGACGCCAGAGGCTGTCTTTTCTCCTGGAAAAGGCAGCCTCTAGGGAAGCCAAGATGTGGAGGATCTACGTGCCAAAGAAGCCCTCCTCTCAGGTG